GACTACAATTCTTATCCACAGTTTAATCAAAGGCCAAATTAAACCGTCGCTTCACGATCTATATACCATCGGTTGCCGATGGAATAACCCCTTTTCTGCTGTGTCCCAAGGGAGGCCCAATCTGCCTATACATTTCACACAGTATCAGAAAGGTGGCGTAACGTTCAATTGTATTGTCTTCCATGGCACTGGCTTTGGAATTTACGAACTGAATTATGTAATACCGATCATGGTGCCATCGGCACTGTCTTGTGTGGGAGCACAATAGTTAAATGTTCGACTAAAACGGAACTGCAGCCTAGGTCTACCAAGAGCCAAAAGACTTCCTGGTGGGGAAAAGGCGCACAATTATCAGTTAAAGAGAAGAGTGCATTCAAGAAATGGCTTGGAAAAAAAAGAGCCTTCCAGACAGCAAACAAGGTACAATATCCGCTGCTTTCAAAATTAAAACAAGGAAAGACCAAGATTTCTTAAGAACAAGTACGGACGCTTTGTTACTAAGGAAGAGAATATATGATCAAGTATAATAATGATAAATATGCTAATTCAGCCCATGAAGCATCTGTGCATCCAACTGAGGAGCGGGTGGAAAATCGATGATGGGACGGCATAGTGTACGACTGTATCAGGCCAGAGGTTGCGAGACTTATGGTCAAACTGTGTACAACCCGTCATGATCTGCTGACAGTTCATTTATTCAACACAAAATGTAATCCGTCAGAAACCAAGTCATATCAAACACACGGCATGAAGATCACAAACATTTATTAGTCAAGTTGGTTGCAGCAATCAACGGAACCGTCTAAATGGTAAACACCACAAATTAGAAGCTCAATACAAACTTAAGAAATAACTAAATAACATGAGACCAAGGGGTGACGATATGTCATATACAGTAATGACTTATTGCTGTTATTTGTAGATAAGTCAGTGCCATCATGACCACTTTTGCAGCCATAATTAACGATTATATCAAACTAGCTGTTGTACCTACTCGACACCTTTTCTCATTCGACACAATGAGTTATGCGGTTTCAAGGGATGCACACTTATTTTTAACAGCGGCGCAGAAAACTCATCATATCCAGTAAGGAAGGGTATCGAAGAAGTAAACCATTGGTCTAATTTAGTCAGTGACAATGAACTTCTCCAAAAGCACTTGAAGAGCTTGTACCCTATCCACAAAAACAACAAATCATTTTGAACTGCGAAAAGACGCCAATTTCACAGATAGCAGCAGTAGGACGTTTTCGAAGTGCTAGCTGCTTTTGCATCCCCCCTTTCAAATCAGCGAAGAGGCCGTATGATGATTCATCGTTTACTGAGGAGGCGGTACTTGCGGTAGCTGTTGCGGCTTCATTCCTATTTCAGGCGTAAGGCGTTCCAACAGAGCTTTCACTTTGTCGGTACGACCTAAAGTCAACATTTTACTGTAGTACGAGCACAGGACGCCCTTACCTTGCTGAATCTGCAGACAGATGCCCAACAACATAACCTGAACGGGTAGTCTGCCTTCGTTTGGAGACAGCTAAAAATTGGTTATGACGAAATTGTCATGTGATGAATTTCGCGCAGTTACCTGACTCAATTTCATACAAGCTTCGTCGGTCTTCTGCTGCATGGAATACATAAGACACTGGTTGTAAATGACGGCTGCGTTGGCGACCTTACTACTGTTCGGATACCAGTTCGGCAAGGCCTTTACGCACTCATCAAACTCGGTCGCATTCTCTGTACACCTGCCTTGCTCAAGATATGCCATAGCTTCCTGAAACTCTGCCATTTTTGACGATGCCTCAGCAGCGTACATGTTGCCCAAGTACCTGAATATTAAATGCATACTTCCAGGAGCAGAAAACCAAACACTGCTCACCTGTACTGGGGTGTTAAATAGGGAAGCTCCAACAGCTTCAACGCATTATCATACGCCAACCGATACTTCGACAAGCACAAACAAACGTAGGAAGTCTGGCACAGAATCGCTTGGCTGAAATTTGTGCTTGACACAGTTCAATTAAAAATAAAATTAGCATACTATCAGCAGGAAGACAACAAAATTAGCTGTAAGGTTGCGGCTTAAACATAGATTCATTTTCGACATAATCTCTGGTTAACTAGCAATACCGTCATAGACGAATATGCATTCTACTTGAGTCACAACCACAGGAAGGGGGGGGGAGGCGCAAGAACGCGCTTCTGTTCAGCTCAACTCATAAACACCGTACTGTATCTATGCACAGAAAGTAATCAAGGTAATCAAAGGAAATCAACATCACAGCATGCGTATAAATGGTTTTCTATGCGCTTAAAAACAAGTGGAGATGCAACTTTTCCGCACAACCCAGCGAAATGACTTTAAGTCTAGATCATCTTAACCTGCTCATAAAATATACCTGGAGGTTATTTTAATATCTACTGCCAAAAATATTATCAATCGTATTTTGCACAAAGTAATGCGTGCAATACTGCATGTGTAGCACTAAAGTACGTTATACTGCATATATAGTATATTACAATACCTATACTACTGCCATAAAGTATAGTTACCAATGAATATCACTTATACCATAATCTATATTTAGTACTATATATTGCACCGTACCCTAATACACATAGTTTTAGATAGTACATATATGATACAAAATTTTTTGTACAGTATAACTGGAAGGAAAATGGCATGACAGTGTATAAAGACAGAAATTTGAATTCGATGCAAGGGAATGCCGAGGCTGAGCGCAACTGTACACTCTTCCAGCAGCTAATTTCATTTTGTCCTCACGTTTAAAACAGGTTTTAGAAATACTACTACCAGTACTATACTGTTGATACAGTAGGATATACGTACTAACTAAAACTAGGTATATTACTGCACGATGCAGAATATGTACTAAATGGCACTAAATACGTATCATGGTATAAGTGATATTCAATAGTCTATATAGCTTACTATATTTCTAGTATTATACACATACGTACATTATCACAACAGATGATGACTGCAGTATGACAACAGCATATGTACTGTAATCTACTACATATACGATGAAGCTTACTTCAGTACTATCTATGCAGTGTAGTAAATAATATTATATAATCTTATTTACTACATTGCATATACAATAGTAGAGTAATTAATACAATATATAATAGGTTATAATAAATATACTACTGTAATGTTGCCATTTTTGTAATGCTCATCAATATTTTCAGAAGGCAGACGACGCGAACGGTACAGTACTGCACACTTTGTAAGTCGGTAGATAGGACAATAGCTAAACAGTTCTATTAATACTACATATGCGATACAATCGACTACACATAGGGCATATCATACTATGCATAGACTACACAGCATAACTGCGAAGGTTGACAG